TTGATCTGAGAGAGGGCTTGTGATGGGAAGTTAGGAATGGTCCAGGCTTCCTTCCCCTAAAAGATCAGTCTCCCTCCCCTTGCCATCTGCCCCAGCAGGATTGATAAGCCCAAGGCCCTGTCTCTACTGCTGCATGCCGCTGACATCAGCCACCCCACCAAACAGTGGTCGGTTCACAGCCGCTGGACCAAGGCCCTCATGGAGGAATTCTTCCGCCAGGTACGAGGCCTCTTTGCCTGCCCCCGCCCCCGCCCATGGGGCCTTCTCTCCCCTTTGTTCTCCAAGTTCCCTGTTCCTACTCCAGTCCTCATTCAGTGGCCTGCAGCTGCCAACCTGATCCCAAACCCACGGGATATAATGTCATCTCCGAAAAGCTTAACAGTAATTGCTAGCAGTGGCATTTGCATGCCACTCATTTCCAGGTCAAAGGCGCAGAGATCCCTCTTCTCCCCCGGCAGCCCCTTCTACCCCCAGCTGCACCTTGATCTGGTAGACTGAGGTGCTTCCCCGCCCTGTCTGCTCCCCCAGGGTGACAAAGAGGCAGAGCTGGGCCTGCCCTTTTCTCCGCTCTGTGACCGCACTTCCACTCTCGTGGCACAGTCCCAGATTGGTGAGTGTCCCTTCCCGCAGGGAGGAGAGAGTTGCGAAGGCTAAAGGGTGCTGGCTGGGCCGGGTCAGGACCTCTCCAAGTCCACCTCCTTCAAAGCCATTCTTCCCGTAGCGGCAAGCCCGCCGTGCTAGAGCATGGGGTCCTGGGGTGGAGTTCTCTGGGGTCGTAAAGACATCATCGCAAAGGCTGCCCCCACCAGGAACTTTTCAGCCCCAGGTGACCCTGTTTTACATGCAGCCGGGGGCACAGCTGTGCCGGCCATATCCTCTGCCCGGGCCCCCAGGTCAGATGGCTCCATTGTGTTACCCCTGCACTGCAGGTTTCATCGACTTCATCGTGGAACCCACGTTCTCAGTGCTGACTGATGTGGCCGAGAAGAGTGTCCAGCCCATGGGGGAGGAAGACTCCAAGTCTAAAACCCAGCCCAGGTGAGGGTGGCCGCAGCAGCCGGGGGCCCACAGAGAGCACTGACTCCCAGGGAGGAGGTACAGGTATGGCGGGCGTGGAGAAGCAGGCGACTCCAAAAGTGGGAGCCCCTCTACTGCGAGTCACACACAGGGGCGGAAGGATGGGGGGCAGGGAGTGTGGTCTGCACCTCTGTTCCCTCCACCGTATTTATATCTCTCCCATTAGCTCTGTCTTTATTGCCTTTCTGCTAATCTGCTTTTATTTTCCTTCTAGTAGGAGGGAAGGTGTGGAGAGGGATGGGGACTGCGGGTACCTAGCAGAGGGAAAAGAGGAGAAGGATGGGGGTGCCTGAGCCTACTGGTCTTCTACCCCCTCTACTCCGAGGGCTGTGAAGATGGCTCTGGGGTGGGCAGGGCCTGACCTCTGCAATGTTGGGGTCCGGCTTTTAGCTTCCAGTGGCGCCAGCCTTCTCTGGATGTGGAAGTGGGAGACCCCAACCCCGACGTGGTCAGCTTCCGCTCTACCTGGACCAAATACATTCAGGAGAACAAGCAGAAATGGAAGGAACGGGCGGCAAGTGGTGGGTCCATTGGGAGGATGAGGCCTTGCGGGGAGGGTGGCTGATACAGCAGTAGCGGGTCCCTTTTCCTTAAGCCCTTCCTCAAGCAGCCCTTTGTCTGACTCCTTCCCTGAGCTGGGAAAGGGAACTGACTAGGCTGCAGTAAGATCACAGGAACGACTGACTGGCCGACTGGCCTGGACCGTTCTAGAATGCGGACTTGAGAGAGGATAGGGACAGCCACATGCCACAACCTGAGGGACCCCATGCACACTGCGGTCTGTCAATGGTACCCTGTGGATATGGTAACCTGGTGGCCCTGGCTGGGACATCTCTTCCTTAACGTGGGAGTTGAGGGCTGTGCATTTTAGCAAGGTTGGAGAGGCTCTCCCCAGGTAGGCGTGGGTTGAACGTAGCTCAGCTGGAAGGAAGGGGGATGTGTGAGAATCCCTTACTTGTTGGGTTTGGGGGAAACATACTGCTTGGTCTGGTCCCAGCTTCCTTCCTGCCCCTTTGCAGGCGTCGCCAACCAGATGTCCATTGACGAGCTGTCCCCGTGTGAGGAAGAGGCGCCAGCCTCCCCTGCCGAAGATGAACACAACCAGAACGGGAATCTGGACTAGCCTGGGGCTGGCCCGGGTGAGCCTGTCGCGGCAGACAGGGAGGGGTTTAAGGTTCCGCAGGGAGCTGGGCCAGCGGGGTGTGCCACAGCCCTCTTTGAAGGGTCATCTCTGGGGTTCAGTGGATGCAAGGTGGTCCTTCCCTCTTTCCCAGCAGGGATATGGAGGAAGTGAGCACACAGACTCGAGCGGGGCCTGAGTGGAGAGCAGAGTCCTCCCACCTGCAGGAAGAGAGGAGTGGGCTGAGCGGCTCCTTTGTGAGGGCCTGGGGAGAGGCGGCAGTCAGGGCCCAAGGCTCCGGGAGGTCAGCTGGGCATGACTTTCAATCCAGCCCCGCTCACGCCCTGGCTGAGCTCCTTCTGCAGGGCCTTTTTTGCTCAACTGTAAGCGGGACTGAGTGGGGATCCAGTGGGACCCGAGGAAGGTAAGTCAGGCTGGAGATGAAGGAGGAGGTCAGAGCACCGAGGTGTCTCCTCTTCCCCCAGGTCCTCACCGAGTCCAAAGTGTTCGATGTCGTCAGCACCATCCATCGGGACTGGCTCCCCCATCTGCTCCAAGGGAGCATGGACATCAAAGAACAGACACCCCAACCGAAGGACAAATGCCAGAGATTGCGGGATTGGGGAAAGGGCCTGTCCCCACCCGACACCCATTGGGGCGCACTTTAATCTCCCGGCGGCAAGACTGGGGAACTTCAGGCTCCCAGTGGTCACTGTGTCCATCCCCCCCCCCCCGCCCCCGCCTCTGGACTCTCCCTATGGCCAGATGGTCGGCTGGAGGGGAGCTTCCTGGAGGCTTCCCAGGGCCTGCGGGGGAGGGTTGGAGATGCCAGCCCCCTGGGTCCTCCCGCATCCTTTTTGCCTCCAAGTTTCTAAGCAATACATTTTGGGGGTTTCCTCAGCCCCCACCCCAGACCTTAGCTGGCAGGTCTGGGTCCCCCTTTTCCTCCCCTGGGAAGGGCTGGAATAGGATAGGAAGCTGGGGGTTTTCAGAGCCCTATGTGAGGGTAGGGGAGTGGGCTCCTTCAGGGCATGGTACCTTTCTAGGGCCTGGGAATGGGGGGCATCCTCTTTACCCCAGACCTGCACTGCTTCAGTCCCATCCCCAGCCCAGACCCTGCAATCTTCCCTCTCTCCCATTCTGAAATGGTGACTGGGGGAAGAGGAGCCATTGCCACCAGGGGCTGAGAGGAGGCCTTTCCTGGGGTGGCCAAGGACTCGGGACTGGTCTAGGCCCCTGGGGCTTGTCATCTGCCCTGGCTGAGTCCTGAACCCTTTGCCTCCTTCCTCTCCCCTGGGGCTGGGAGGCTCCCATCCGACCAATGTCTGTAAAGTGCTTTGAAGTCTCCCCAGCAAAGCACCTTCAGGATACATCCTACGGGCACAGGAGGGGAGAGCTGGGTTGGGGTCAAGGGCGCATGGGGAGGGTGAGGTGTAACCCAGTAATCCTGTGTTGCTGACAGAGAGGGTCCCTCCCCCTCCCAGCCCCGGCCCAAGAGGCCCCTCCCCAGGACAAGTGGGGAGTGGCGGGTGGAAGGCAGACGGGCAGGGGCTCAGGACTGCTGCTCTCATGTCCTCTGGAGAGAGCCCAGTCAGGCCCCTGCCCCTTCCTCTCCTCAGGCTCCTCTCACCCGGCTTTGTCCCAGGAAGGGCCCAAGTCCAGGTGACTGCCCTCCTCCTTTCTTGTACCAACCATGCATTTGTACAGTGGGCCCTGTTCCTGTGAAGTCATATCCATGGTCTCTTAGACCTGCCACCTGCCACTTGTCCCTCCTACCCCACCCTGAGTGGGGCAGAGACGCATGAGACTCACCCCCACCCTTGGTCTCCCAGAATCCTGCTATAGCCAGAGATCAATAAAAGAAGGGAGACCTGGCCTGGCTGTGTGTGTTGTTTGTCGGGTGAAAGTGCACTGGGCATCTTCACGTGCACTGTCTCTTCAAGCCGATGAAACCCTGGTGCGGTGTTCATCCTGTTATATATGGAGGCCCAGAGAGGTGAGGTCTTGCCTGAGGTGCACAGCAAGGGTGGCAGAAGGGGACCTTACACTTCTGAAGTTCTTTCTTCTCTCCATCACACTACTTCTTCAGTAAAGAGGGGTGAATCTCCCCTCCCCTCCTCTCCTCTCCCCACTGCCTGGAAAAATCAAAAGCAGTAGACAGGAGAGGCCTGGCTGTGGGGTCTGAGGAAGGTTCTTCACTTCTGCTCAGCTTTCGTCGTTTACCCCGGCCCCTTGGTGTCGTGGACAAGGGGGAGAGGTGACCTTTCCAGTTCCCAGCAAGGGCCTCTTCGTGAATAGCCACTGTGTCCTCAATCTAGCTTAGCTAACAGGTCGGAGTCTGGCTGGTGGTCTCCGAACAGCTGGAGAGGGAGCACATCCTGAAGCTTGGGAATCACTGAGGCTTGGAGGGCAGGCAGGGAGGCATCCACGCAACGCCCCGCCTCTTTCCCATGGGCCAAGTGCCAGTTCCCGGCTTTGTTCAGCAGATGGCGCCCACAGCAGCGTCGCAGCCATACGGGCCTTAGGGCTCCAAGGCCTCCTGGCAGCCCTGCCAGGTGGTTGTATCTTTTCCTCAATATGAAGAGAGCCTGGGGCCATCCTTCCTTCTTGGTACCCCGGAAGTCAGTCCTCCTACCTATCTGACCCTCAGCTCTCTTCCCCCAGCAAGTCAGGGCAAGGCTGGGGAAAAACTCCTCCCTTCTCAAGGCTCCTGCCCAGCTTCCTTATTTCCTCCTTCCTGGAGGCAGCTGGGCAAGAGGGAGGGGGGCTATAGAGAGGGCAGGACAAGACGGGAGGGAGAAAAGATTCTCCAAGTTGGGAAAGAAGGAGAATACCAAGGACTTAACACTAAATTTATCACTTTTAAAAACAAGATATTTTCCCCAAAAGTGAAGAAATAAGAAACAAATCCAGTGTCCGTGCATTCCCAACTGCAGTCTTGATTCCAAGATACCTCCTTCACTCTCAGACCTGTTGCGAGGGAAGCAGATAGAAAGAGAAGGTGAGTGAGAGGCCTGAGGTCCTATTGTCCCCTCCCCTGCTGGTGTGCCCAACCATCCCGTCAGGCATCCAACTTCTAGTGTCTGACTCCAGTCCCTGGCCCCGTGTCCAGTCTACACAGGGGAGGGGAGACTGTAAAATCAGAGCTCACAGGGTTATTTCATCAGTGTCTCCACTCCAGGCAGGACCACTGCTTACCAGCCTGGACAGGTGAGGATCTCCCTTTGGGTTCCAAATGCCCTTTATCAGAAAATCCACGGTCTACTTCCATCACCCATTCCAGGAGCCAGAAATCCTCAGACAGAGTCTAACCTCACTGCCTCCTGCTGCACTTTTATCCCATTTCTCTTTGTCTGTCCTTCTGGGGAGATGCAAATCCTCTGGCCACAGACGACGGCTTTTCAGTGACTGAAGCTGGTCCTTTGTCCCCCTTTTCCTTGACTCCAGATCTTAGCCGTCCCCCTCCCCACACAGCCTGCTCTCCTGCAGACTGGGCAGCCCAGCCCTGGGGTCTTACCGAACGGGCTCCCTTGGAATCCAATGGTGGTCTATGGGTTGAGGGTTCCTCTGTGCTGGGTTTCTCACTGCCCCTCTCCTGAGTGTTAGGGATGGATTCTGCAGGCTCTGAGGAGGGAGAACAGGTGGTGGGAGGGACAGGTAGTATTCACGAGGGCTTGGAGAGAGGCAGCTGCCTCTACTCACCCTAGCCCATACTTCAACAAGCCCTGAGAGGAGCCCAAGACCAAGCGGAAGGCAATGGGGCAAGACCAACAGGGTTTTCTCTGGTCACAATGACTACTTAGGTTCACTATTTTTTTAAAAATCTGCAATCGGAAATCGAAAAAAAAAAAAAAACCCTCTAAAAAAAAAGCTTAAAATTTGGGGTATGATCTCAAAGTGTGGCTAAACCTGACCTGAACAGAGATGAGCTTTTGATAGCCTATTTATCCCACTTCGTGTGACCACTCATTTCCCTGCAGAAATCTTCATGTGTTTGATTACAGGGGGCTCTGCTGGAGGTACTATGGAACATATGGCGTATATACCGTGTCACCTTCATAAAACTGGAAACATTCTGACTTCCGGCCCACATCTGGGATAAGGACTCGTGGACAGGCAGGGTCCATTGCTTGCATACTTTGTGTTCACTGCTGGGCTAAGGACCAGTCTCACTGAATTTTCACACACAACCCAAGGCAATAGGCACCATCATTATCACTTTACTGATTGAGGTTAAGCTGCTCAAGACCTCTGGGCTGATAAAGTGGCAGAGCCAGGATTCCAGCCCGTGAAGGCTGCTCCCATGCCGGCGGGCTCCCCCCATTCAATAGGGAGCTCTGAAGTCCAAGTTGGGAGGGGATGGTGTCATTCAGTAAAGAAAGATGAAGAGATGCAAACACACGCCGTCCATGCAAAGATCCATACTCTCAAGACAGTTTCTGGCTACTGCTAGGCCCCTCCCTACAACGGGGAAGGCTGGCCTCCCCTGGGGTTGGTCCCTCCCCAGCCTGAACGTACTGTGTGCTTTCCCAGAGGTGCCTAGCCACGACTCCGCTGCTGTGTCTCCGATCCCAGGTGGGCAGGACTCCTGTGTCCCTGTGCTCTCGGCGGCTCCTTCAGGCTCCTCTCCCTCCTGCTGTTGCCCCAGGTGATGTTCGACCATCATCTGGAGCTCTGAGGGCAAACAGAAAGGGAGAGAGCATTGGACGTGACTGCCCAGCCTCCTCCATGGACCCTCAGATGTGACAGCCCCACTAGAGGGGCAGCACACACTGCCCGTGTGGTTTGACTTTCCTGTCTGAGATTGAACAAGGAGGGACATCTGCTGTACGATAAGGAGGGACTAAAGTTAGACAATAAAATGTACTTTTTTCAAAGGTAAGGGAGGGGAAAGGAAGAGCCTTTAAGATCAAAAGAAGCTCCTGATTTGCTGGGATACCTGGTCTCCTTTGGGGTCAGGAGAAAAGACTCAATTTAGATTCAAGAAATATTTGAGTACCTCCTCTGTGCTGTGCACTATGCCGGGTGAGTTCACATACTTTATTTAACTGCCAAAGTGAGGTAGTATTCAGGGCCCCTGTAGGTTAATCAGGTTCTCCAAGGCCACCCAGCTAGTGGGTGGCAGAGCTGGAATGCAGCCCCGGGTGGTCCAGCAACAACTCTCCTTTAATAAAGGCAGATGTAATGACTTCCCAAGGATTCCTTCCAAACGGGTCATCCTGGCCACTGCTCAGCATCAGGCATAGCGGGGAAGGGTCTTCCGAACCTTTCATTGTGGGTGTGGTCCTCATCACCTTCTTCTGTTGCCGTGGAGACATGGACAAAGTGGACTGTGAAGGGCACAGAGCACAGGTGGGCGTCCGCCCTTCTCGCCCTCCTCCCTGCCGTGCCATGCTGTGGGACTGGAGACTGGGGGTAGGTGTGGGCTTCAGCAAGTGGGGGAAGAAAACTCCTGCTTCCTCGGCCCCCACCCCTATGATGGTGAGCAAGGAGACCGTGTATGGGAGAACGTAGAGGACCATGTGTGTACATCCACTCAAGAACATTTTGGGGGGGGTGTACAAGAAAGAGGGAGACAAAAGGTCCTAAGAGGGGGGGTTGAGGAATAATCTTCTAATGGGTCTGGGGGTTCTCTGTGCTGGGCTGAGCGGGAGGGGCCAGCTCACCTTGAGATGCGGGTTGGGGACCCGGTCTTCATCCACCTCTGAGGGAAGGAGGGAAAGGAGAAAGTGATGAGGATGGGAAACCCAGGGGGTCCCGCAGACTGACTTCCCAAGGGGAGGAGCCTCTGCAATCACCTCCTTCCTGATCCGTCCCTCACATCTGTCCCTAGGAAGCTGGCCCTGACTGTGGCTGTCCCCAGCCTCTTCCCTCCAGCTCCCTCCTGCTCTGCTGGCTGGCTTTACCTCCTCCTGCTTCTAGTCCTGTCCTTGCCTCTGTGGTCAGTCTGCATCTACATCCTTGCCTCAGACCTGGAGGTTCTCGTAGGCAGGCTTTGTGGTCCTTTTGTCCTTTTCCTCCCTGTCTCCTTCCAATCAGCCCCCCACCCCCGATCCAGAACTGAAACATGCCTAGGAGGGAACACCGGAGAGAGAACAGCAAACTTATCCTGTGCAGGGCCCAGGACAGTCTTTTTTAGTAGTTGGAGGAAAGTTGGAGACTCAGGTATCCTGAATTCCAGTCCGGCTTATTAGCATCACTACCTCTCTTCCACTCTCTCGCCAGCACCCCTGACATTCTCTGAGACCTTGTTCTCTCCCCAGACCTTGATGGAGACACTGGTGACCAGAATGCCAGCTGCTCCCTGAGCTGTTTCTAACCTTCCCCTTCCCCTCTGGGGGCCATGAGAATAGCTGATGGCGGCGGTCCCTCCCCCTCACAGCTGTCACCGCCTCTGGCGGTGGGGGCAGCAGCCTCTCAGTTGCTGGAGAAACCTGGAAGGCTGTTGCCACAGCAACCAACACTCCGTTGACCACCCCAACTCCTGGGGGGCTTAGGAACCAGGTTGTCTCCCCCTCTTCCTAGCACTGCTCTGTCTTTCCAAAGCGGAGGAAATCCCCCTGCTAACCCAGCCACCACTTCCCTGCCTCCAGGACTGGGGAGACCGCGGGCTCCTCAGATGTGCCCTCCTGTCTAGCACCCACCTTCTCTCACTGGGACCCAGCTGTCTTCAGCAGCCCCCACTCCCTTCAGCGACCCATCCTGGGGTTACCTGGGGATGACTGGTCACTGGTCAGCACGAGGGTGGCAGGGGTGGGGCGGCGCCTCCGGATCTGAGGGAAGAGGTCAAGTACACGTGGAAGCATCACAGCCCCGCGCACACTCAGTAACATAATGCAGGCCGCCCACTTAGCACACCTCCAAAAGTGCCACGTTACACTGAACCCACGGTCTCCGGGTGGACGTTCTTGGGCCCATCCCTCTGCCCTGGGGACCCAGAAGACCACCTCCACTCCCTGCTTCCCCCAACCCCCTTTCTGTCTCCGCATCTCCCCGGGTCCTGGCCCCAGCTCTCCATCTCAGCAGCTATATCTGCGCTAATGCATCGATTTCTGGCCTGCTGTCCTTCCGTCCATCCTGGATCAATGGTCAGAAATAACCCGAGAGGGCACAAAACTTTCCCCTTAGTCTCCCAGACCACTCCCCAAATGGACATAAACCTGTGGTGGGCCAGCACCTACGGAGAGCGCCCCTCGATCCCCACCCAGCCTGGGAGGACAGCACAGAGAAGGTGGGTCTGAACGTGCCTTCACCTGGCCCATGCCCCTCCCTCCCTCATCTCCTCCCTATCCTTGTACACACTGCCTTTCTGATTTGTCAGGAAATACGGCCTAGAGAAATCCTTGTCATGGTAAATATAATATGAGGAGAAGCGTGAGGCAGGACCCTGGTCAGGGACTAAAGCTAAACTGAAAAATCTTATCCTGGGCTCTGGGGTCCGATTCTAAGAAAGTAACAGATAAGAGCGGATTCACTGCTGGGCCTCTGAGCCCCCTTTCCCCGCCTCTGTTCTTTTGTCTTGCTGCCAATAAAGTTGACTGTTGTTGAAGTCAGTCCAAGGACTCTTGGGACACGTAGTTTTTTCCATTTCTCTGGAGGCTTGAAAGTGAAGGGTACCGTGGGGTTGGAGTCCCTGTGGCTCCCTCCAGGGCAGAAAGTGGGTATCAGCCCTAGCTGGGGGCAGGGTTAATCTGAGAGAAGGACACCTCAAAGAAGAAATGGGTACATAGAATGGGGGTAGGTTGGGGTAGGGACTGTTTTCTTAGGAGAATCCAGCAGTATCTGTTTTTGGTGGCATTTCAAGGTCCCTGGCAATACCAGTTCTGTGTGTGTGTTTGTGTGTGCATACAAGCACGCACAGCATAGACATTATCTGTGAGTCCGTCGCTGGCTATTCCTGGTGCAAACGTGCTGAGGGCCAGCAGGTGGGCAAGTGTGTTTCGTGCATGTGGGGTGAGGCCATCCTTCTCCTTAAGAGAGGACTCCTCTCTATTTCTTTCCTGCCCTGGGGGAGGGGAGCTGAGAGAGGGAGAGGGTGCGGTGGGGGTGGGGATTAATGGGGGTTGGGAGCCTGAGAAGGAGTCTGCAAGTTTGACAGAAAGGACCTCTGAGAGGGCAGCAGGGCTCTGTGATCTTGGAGAGGTCCCTTAACCAATGTCCTTGCCTTGGACAAGATTTCTAAGCACTCAGAGTCCTTGAGAATTCTGATGTCCTACAGCAGGAGGGAGTAAAGTTAGACTTCCTGAAGTACCTCCCAGGCACCTGGACTACTAGCAAATGAGTAGGCGGTCTCTTATTTTCCATGCCCCGATCACAAATCCTAGTTCTCAAGGACACTTGGTGCCTTTGCCTCTGATTTCTTTCCAAACCAGTTATGCCAAGGACCTGGTAGCTGTGGGCACCCCTCCATCCCCTGCCACTCTGTGCTCCATAACTCAGAGTTTCCAACCCCTGCCGCCCTCTCATGTCACTCTGGGTTAGGTGTTCCTGCCAAGCCGGGAACTTTTTGCCTACACACTTGGGTAACACAGCAAGGGGGGGTTGAAGTTAGACTGCAGGTAGAATTTCAGGCTGAGCAGACACAGATTTCGGAAGACGAGAGAAAAGCAGGCTGAAGTCCCAGCTCTTTTTCCCTCTGGCTCTATAGCACTGCCTCATTCTCCTCCCCTGCTCACCAGAGCCCTGGGCCAGCTGGCCTGCCCTCCCCCAACACACACCTACACCTGCCACATCTAACGCCAAACAGAGGCAGGCGTCAGGCAGTGAGCACTGGCTGTGCCAGTGGAAGGCATCTCTGCTTGGAACCTCACCCCTGAGCCCGTAGCTCACACTCCTGGGCCCTTTTCCCTGGGTCTGAGGTTATCTTAGCCGGCCCCCTGCCTCTAGGCATAATAGCCTTTTTCCTGACCCCAAGGGGACGCTCCCCATGCCCCTGGCTCTCCGCCCTCCTCATCCTCAGGAGGTTTGCAGTCCCACCACCCTCCCTCCTACTGTCACACCTTAGAGGTCTGGAGATGCGGCTCCCCCCACAGGCCAGGGAGAGGATGGAGACACAGGTCCCTAACCCCTCCCCACACTTTGGGAAGCTAACGTTATAGGGAGAGCGTGTGTACCCAACCTTTCCCTTCACATCAGACCTTATTCCACCAAACAGCTGGAGCAGCAGAAAGAACACTCTCTCCAGCCCATCCCAAGAGGTCAGAGTTTTCTCAGGTGGGGAGGCCCAGCCAGAGCCCTGGCAGCCGGTTGGGGGAAACAGAGAAGTGACCTTGGGGGAAATGGATAGTCTTTAGGAACAGGGATGTCTAGGCAAATGGATAGAGAACCCGAAAAGAGATGGAGCAATGAGCAAACGAGCAAATATTTGGCAAATGGGCGGTAGTAGCGACCGCGGGTGGTCACCGTCTCCACGCACAGGCTCACTCTCCCTGATACACACACTTGCTCACACAGTCTCATACACTGCCGCCTCTGCCAGGCTGCTCGGAGCTAAAAATAGGCCAGGCCCGGAGGCTGGGCCAGGGCCCTGGACTCCCACCCCTTGAGCCCAGCCCAGCACAGTGCTTCTCCCTTGCCCACGCCCAGCTAGGACCCCAGCCCCGAGAAAGCCCTCGTTTCGCGCTCCCCAGGGCCATTCTCTCCATGCCCTCCCCTTCCCGCCGCCCCCCCACCCCGCCCCATTACCGATCCAAAGGGCAGGAGATGGGAATAAGGACCCAGTGTCCAGACCTGAAGAGCGCGGAGTCAGCCTGCAGACACGACCACTCCTCTCCCCCAAGCCCCAGCCCTCGCAGTTTTCCTCAGCCCTTCTTGTCCTCACCCTCTGGGGTCCGTCAGGGTCGCCCCCAATTAAGAGCTGGGGGGCTCTTTCTCCTCTTTCAACTCCCTCCATTACCTGCCCTCTCCCTTAGGCCCTCCGACACCTTTGGGCGCCCCTTCCGAGCTCAGAAACTCTGGCGGGGTGTTGACTGGGTGGGGGATGAAAGACTGGCGAAGGGGGGAGGGGTCGTGTCCTCAGGCAAGGCCCCTCCCCCAGGGCTGGGGAAGCAGGGAGCGACTCTCGCGGGGACCGGCTTCGAGGGCAGGCTCTCGTCCTTCAGTCCGTCTCGAAGAAGCACAGACGGGGAGATGGGGTTTCCACGGTGGGGGAGGGGAGAGAAGACCCCCACCCCCCGCAAACAGCGCGCCGGCGCTCGCAAGGGCGCACCGCCAAGGGAGGACTGAGCGGGGGTCTCGGATCGCACAGTCCAGGGGTCCCTCGTCCTCTGTGGGGCGAGTTCCCTGCCGCCCCGCCCCGCTCCGCACCTGCTCCGCCGCCTCGGGGTCAAGGTGCGGCTCTAGCAGCGGGACAGTGAACTGGATCTTCCGGGGGCTGTGGTCTTGCTCCATGGCTGGGGCGGCGGCCGCTGGGCCAGCGGCGGCGGCGGCGGCGGGCGGGCAGGCGGCGGACCCGGGGCTGGGGCGGGAGCGCTCCCTCTTCGCTCCGCTCCGGCCCGGCCCCAGCCGGGCGCGCTTGGCTCTCGGCTCCCGGCTCAGCGCTCCCGGCTCGCGGCCCCGGGGACTCCGCGGCCGCCGATTGGCTCGGCACCCGCCCCTCCCGGCCCCCTCCCCTTCCCCACGCCCGGAGCCTTAACCCCGTGGTGGCTGCGCCGCCGGCTGGCGGGGGTCACCGCCCCGCTGGCGGGCGAACCTGAGTCCCGGTCGCAGTGGACACAGACCGGATGGGTATGCGGGGATCCTTAGAGTTCTGGGCGGGGAGTGGAGGTGGGGAGTGGCCACGAAGAACTTCTCCAGGCTGGGGCAGAATTGAGGGGCTGGGAATGTGGAGGGGCGCTGCCAGAGAGGAGGCTGCAAACGCTAGAGGAAGATTTCCTTTCTGATCTTAAAGGGGTCGCCTCATAGAGAAAAGAAAGAAAGGGGATCTAGACTTGCAGCAGGAGGGATTAAAGTTAGACCAGGAGAGAGACTTTCCACTGAGAGGAGACTGCTAGAGCGGAGGTGGAAACTTGGAGGGGAGGCGTGGGGTCTGGGCACAGGTCTGGGTTCACTGTGCAGCGAGAGGGGGAACCGAAGACCTTAGAGGGTATCCAGAGCCTCTGTCTTGAAGTGCTGATGGCAGTGGGTGGAGGGCTCAGGGAGCAGGACCATCTGGGACTCAGCAGAAGGAGAAGCGGGTGTGGGGAGCCGGTAATGCTTGTGAAATAGGTTTCTCTTCTTGCTTGCTAAATTCTGGGGACGTGAAGCAGGTGAAAGGCCTGCCAGGGTAGAACCCTTCCCGGGGATGGAGAGGGAAACACCTTTGGTGGGGTGGCTTGTTTATAGATGGGGTCGGTTTCCAGTTCCACTATTGGCAGAATAATGAAAAGGATCTGCTGTAACTGAAGGGATGGAGGTGAGACTATGTGAAGAACTTACTAGTTTGGTGTAGGACCAAGATGTCAATACTACTGAGTGAGGGAGATAGGATATTCACCGGAGCTGGTGGGCACTCTGCCAGGGGCTGGGGGCCACTGGGTAGAGGGAGGAGAGGTGCTGGGCTCTGAGGAGGGCAGAGCTGGATGCATCTTTGGGGGAGGGAGTTCTGAGGGAGGGGTGGGGCAGAGGCCGGGGCCAGAGATCTGTTTCTTTAGTCTTAAACTGAGCAACTGGTACGTTCAGTACAGATTGATGCCTGGCTCTCTGGGAACCCTGGGATCATCCTCTCCTCTAAGTGGTCAGCCTAAATCCTCAGTTGCCTCCTTTTCCAGGCAGCCCTTCCCTGGCCTGGATTTCACATTGCCCCTTTCCATCTTACCTCCCCAAATAACCTCCCCTGCCCTTCCCCCTAACCATATCCCTTTACACAAAACAGGTCTGGCTCACTTTTCTCAGGGCAAGGCTGGGGCTATAGGCACCCAGTGGGCCAGCCAGACCTCTATCTGCTGTTAATTCTCTCCTGTTTTGCTGTCGCTTGGACTCCAGAAATGACCCCCTACACCCAGCCTACACATGCATGGTCCCTTTGTGCTCTCTTTGAGGTAGCGGGGCCAGTCTGGATAACAGCTGGTTGGATCCTCAGATCCCTCCCTTCCAGTTGCTTCCCTCCCCGCAGGTGACATTGGAAAGAGGGTGTGTGAAGGCACTGAAGCCAAGAGGTTAAGGCTAGGGTGGGGGACAAGGGGGCCCAATAGGACCCAGGTGCTCTCTCTGGCTTTCCCTCCGCTCACCCATCTCCTAACTACACATACACAGAGCAAGGTCCAAGGTGTCCTTTAAATAGGTGACTTGTCCCTTCCCTACACCATTCCACCAGGACCCTGGAACCTGGAACTTGAAGCCAGGACTCCCACACCCCCGTCTCTGGTGACTCAGATGCCCCTCGCTGAGGCTTGATTTCCACATTTGTAAAATGGGCAGAATTGTCCCTACCTGATAAGGTTCAGTATCATAGGAGGTAAGGCACCTGGCACATAGAAGGCCCTCAATTAATTGATAGCTGCTGTTATTATTGTCGCGTTATCTCCTGGCAGGACAGCAGAGTTAGGGGAGTCACCTTTCCAGGTTCTCAAAAGAAGACCCTCCACACCCACCCCAGTCACCCAGTTTGCTGTATTCCCTTCAAACTTGGGTTTGGTCATGGAAATTCCTCCCAAAGCCTCACATCCACACTTCCGTTTCCCTTCTCAAGCTCCAGATTCTCAGACTCCCTTCCGCTGAAATCTCCAGGTCAGGAGAGGGCCCAGAGCGCTCAGGCTTTGGAGAGATGGCTGATGGGGGCTGTGTAGGACAAGGGTTCCTGGGAGCAGCCAGCGCTGGGGTAGAGGCAGAGGAGGGGAGAGAGCGGGGAGGGAGGACAGGCAGCTCCTGCTTCTGGCAGGAGCGTGGGGGTGGGTGGGCAAAACATTTATGGGTAGCGGGGAGGGGAGTGTGGCTGGCTGCAGCCTCTGGTCCTGGGGTTGCTACACAAGTTGGAAGGGGTCTGTCTGTGAAGGCCTGTGATGTCGTTTTGACCTTTCTTATGCCCGGAGCTGGGTGGGTGACTGTGGTGTCTGTTGGGCTTG